ACACATTACTCAGTCCATATCTGTATAGATATCCAGCACAATTTTCCCTACTGAGATCTGATGCGTTTTCCAAGTGTTCCTGTAATTGTTAGTAGTGTAGAGGCAATCACAGTCGTTGATGATCTGCTAACCAAGTACAGCAGCAGCAGTTTGATACTCAGTCTCTCCATTCCTATAGTGACAGTGATGGTATTTGTTTGTTTTAGGGGACTACGTAGAGTTGTTAAATTTCTTTGCTTTCCTCCAAGGCTGCACAGCTAGTGTTTGGGTTATGAAGTAAAAAACACATTATTTTTGTTTTGTTATCTTTGATTTAAAAACTGAAAATAACTGGCTTTTAGAACAAAAATTTAAATCAAAGTTGCCAAGTAAATGATCATTAATCCACCAATCTGTACATAATTATTATACAAGAGGTGACTTTACAGTCCTGGGAAATTCAGTTGATTTTCCTTACTGAACACATTGATGTTCAATTTTATTTATTTTTCAAGTGTTTCAAATTTATTAAGAGCTCTTTCTCCTCCTGTCTTTTGGATAGCTTTGTGAATATTAGATTAATAGCAATTTAAAGGCAGCAGGTTTGAAGCATACAATTTTAATTGGCAAAGTTTATATGTTGGAGGTCCCAATCAATGTGTCATGGTGCCTGAGATTTCAGATGTGTGAAGCTTGCTCTCCCAGCATGCTATCAGCACAGGATAAGGTTAGAGATCCTGCTAATGCCAAGCTGTCTGTCTCGCCACTACAACATGTCCTTTATTGATTAGTCTGCAGTCTAGCTACTCTCTCATGTGTTCATCAGTAAATGTTACATACAAAGCATTTATGCTTATGTGAATCAGTAGATGAGGCAAGTTGAGAGTCAGGAGTCTTTGTTACTGTGATTTGTGGAGGTTCTGGTTTTCATTATCAATGTAGATAAACTAACAGCTTACAACAACACAACATTTTCTCTTGTGGCAATGTAATAAGTGGTGAGGGGAGATAGGCCTTGGAGGGCCTGGGAATTCCCAGAGAGGTGGAGTCTAAGACCCGACCTGACATATAGACACAGACACAAACATGCATTCCCACCCTCATGCACACATATACAAACACTCAGCACTCACCCAACGTAGGGATTGACATAAATGGACATGTACACACAATCACACTCCCCAAACATACTCTATACCCCGGGTCCAGGTACCCTCGCCCCCAGAGGGGGAAACAGAACCCAGACCCAAGAGATGTTACCCTTCCCCCCGGGGTGGAGGCAAGCAGACCGTCCCAGGCTCCGCAGCAGCAGGGAGGCCAATCGGACAGCCAACATCTCCTCCCAGCCCCCCCGCCCCGATGGCTAGTAGAGAACGGGGGTGTGTGAAGACCCCATACCTCCCTCCTCCCGCTCATGTGTAGTGTTGCTGCGTGTTGTTCTAAAGTGCATTTAAAAGGAGAGCATGGTGCTTGCAAACAACAGTGAGATCTTAAGAGATCCAGCCTACGGCTCTTCAATGGGGTGTCACAGGGTCCCCAGGAAAAAAAATTGTAAATGTAAAATAATAAAATAAATATTCTTCTGTAGCAATAACAAAGTATAACATAAATTATTCTGTAGCAATTACACAAGAATATCCAGTAATGTCCCTGCCTACAATTAAACACATTCACTTACCGAAAATCATCTGCTGTGGCAAATGGGTGCAAGCCTTTGACCACAAACTGAGTCACTGCTCGGTGACATTCGTCTATCCTGGCCTGAAAGGAGACGCTACCGGTAGACTGCAGCGAGAACTGCCAGCATCTGAGCCAGACTCTGTCTGTCTCTCTCATCATGGTCACCTAAATGCACAGTAATGGCAGGTTTGTAATAAGGCAGATCGCGCTAACATAATATGCACTGTTAGTTGATTATTTACCTGCCGCATTAACGGGAGAGGACGTGCAAACGTTACCGCTGCTGCTGGGTTGAGATTCACGAGTCCGGAGCGGAATTAAAAACACGACATTCATTTAAGGTCATCGCGTGTTTTGTGAGCAAATGCTTTTGCATATTCGTAGTGTTTCCTCCCTTAGATGAAATATCCACTATTCAAGTATTGCAAGTTGCCCTGTTGCATCCGTTCTCGTAAAGTGTAACCAAACTTTTGAGCGTCTGAGCCGCTTAGGCGCCGTGTTTCCTGCCAGGTAAATGACGCTCCGCAACGTGGTGACGTCATTCGGGGCGATTGGAATCGACAGTGGGAACCGGTTCTCAACAAGAACCGGGTTTCGATACTGTGGCGTGAATAAGGCACGGCGGGACCACGGAGCAACGTTCAGAGCCATCTTTATTTAATTCACGTCACACCACAACACACCCAAACCCCTGAGTCCCCGTGTTTTTAACTAGGCGGGCGTGATTAAGGATGCCGTGCAGGTGCGTCCGCCCTCCCTGCACGGCACCGCAGACCACGCCCCACCACAGATACCCATCCCTACTTGTGACTCATTTAAGCCTGAATATTGATTCATATGGAATGCCTGGGGAAGCTCATGTCAGTGAGTATGTCATTGCCTCAGAACTTTAAACCGATGCCAAACCTTTTCTATTCTGACTCTTTATCCAAAATGCTTCAAGGCTCACACATTGCAGCCACAATTATACAGCTATTTTAAAATAAGGGAGCAGAACTTGACACGGACTGTTGGAGGGAACTGGGAGTGGTCTTTGATTTTAATTTATAATTAGAAGGTTTCAGATTTTTCTGAAAAGGTTGCCTCTAGACAGCTGCATACACATACAGAACTCTCCAACATTAAAAATATTTATACATGTACATTAACATGTAACACATAGCACACATATACAGTTGGGTCCATAAATATTTGGACAGAGATTTTGGTTCTGTACATCACCACAATGATTTTTTCCCCCCTGTCCTCTTCAGTTCTTTAGCAATCAGAGTTATTGTCTGAAGGCCAAGAAAGATGGATTTATTTTACTAAGTAGATCATTATGGCTTTGCCATATTGGTCCACTTGATTGACCTTTGTTATTATTATTTATTTATTCAATTTATTTTATTTTAAGTCACAAATAGGACAGACATGCCTGGGGGCAGGGAAAGAAAGAAAGAAAGAAAGAAAGAAAGAAAGAAAGAAAGAAAGAAAGAAAGAAAGACAGACAGACAGACAGACAGACAGACAGACAGACAGACAGACAGACAGACAGACAGACAGACGGGAAGAGGGACAGACAGAGAAGACACTAAAAAACAAATCCGCTGTTTACCTGTTGATACAAAAAAAGAAAACAAGTAAAAGGAGAGCAACACAATAAAAACAGCACTGCAGCAATAACCTAGATAAGTGTAACTAACAGTAAATACTAAATATTGGATTTTATTTTGCAGCACACAAGACTGACAGCGCAGAATGTGCTTTGAGGTGGGAGGCAAGAAAGCCTGTGAGCACCTGTGTGCGTGAGCGCACTTGTATTCAAAAGGATTCTCCTTGTAATGTGCCTGCATGAAGCAGGCATGGAGGAGACATCTGGTGGCCCTCAGGAGCGTGAGAGCCCAAGGAGGACCATCGGAGGGGCAGCCACGCCACCCTCCTGGAAAGAGCTGAGGAGAGCCCCAGACAGGGGGTTCAATTTTAAATGAAACAATTCTGATGCAGTTGAAGTGCAGACTAGACTCAGTTTTAATTCAGTGAGTTGAAAGAAAAGATTGCATAAAAAGGAAGGGATTTTTAAACAAAAATAATTGGTCAAATTAAATAACTGAGCATAAAATGTTCATTACTACATAATTGGTTGAAAAGCCTTTGCAGGCAATGACAACTGGAAGTCTTGAACTCATGGACATCACCAAATGCTGGGTTCCTCCTTTTCGTTTGGCCTTTTTACAGCTTTATTTGACAGGGTACAGTGAAGAGTGACAGGGAAGCGGAGGGCGAGAGATGGGGGAAGATATACAGCAAAAGGTTGGAATCGAATGTGGGCCGGCTGGTCTCAGCCATGCGACATATGGTCACCTGCTCATCGCAGTGAGCTAAATCAACACCCAGGGTTTCCTCCTTTTTAATGCTCTCACAGGCCTTTGCTGCAGCAGCATTCAGTTGCTGGTTGTTTGTGGGTCTTTCTGTGCAAAGTTTAATCTTCAGCAAGTGAAATGCAGCTCAGTTGGGTTAAGATCAGGTTGTTTGCATCAATAAACTCCTGGGTTGCTTTGGCCGTATGTTGTGGCTTATTGTCCATCTGTATTATGAAACACTGCCTAATCAATCTGACTGCATTTAGCTGGATTTGAGCAGACAGTCTCTGAACACCTCAGAGTTCATTCGTCTGAGTGTCCCAGTGTCACTGGCAGCCATGCATGCCCAAGCCGTCACACTGCCGACGCCGCGTTTTACCGATGATGTGGTGTTCTTTGGATCCTGAGCTGTTCCACACCTTCTTCATACTTTTGTCTTGCCATCATTCTCGTAGAGGTTGATCTTGGTTTCATCTGTCCAAAGAATGTTTGTCCAGATCTGTGCTGGCTTTTTTGGGTGTTTTTTTTAGCAACGTCTAGCCAGTCTATGCTTGAGACTGATGAGTGGCTTGCACCTTGCAGTGAACACCCTGTATTTACTTTCATGCAGTCTTCTCTTTATGGTAGACTTGGATATCGATACGTCTACCACCTGGAGAGAGCTGCTCACTTGGTTGGCTGTTGTGAAGAGGTTTCTCTTTGCAATAGAAAGAATTTTGCGATCATCCTGGAAAGCTGTCTTCCTGTGGACGTCCAGGTCTTTTTGCATTGCTGAGTCCAATCCTAATATAGTAGCAACTTCTCCGATGGGTTTTTTCTGTCTTTGTGAGCTTAAGCATTGCTTGTTTCACCTTCACGGAGAGCTGATTTGACCACCTGTTGTCCATTCACAGCAAAATCTTCCAAATGCAAGCACTTCACCTCAAATCAACTCCAGGCCTTTTATCTTACCTTTACCATTATTTTTCAGTTCCTTCCTGTCTCCTTTTGTGTGACCAGGGTGACGACTGCTCTATCAGCTGTCTTGCAGGCCTGTACGGGATCAACTGCTCCTCATCGTGCTCCTGCCAAAACGAGATCTCCTGCTCACACACTGATGGTTCCTGCATCTGCAGAGAAGGTAGTGCTTTACAAGCACGTTCTTAAAGACAGAGTGTTGAAATTTCCTTCATTATTATGTTTTAGAATTGGACAAGAGGAACAACTATCAAAATTGTTTTTGTAAGGAGTCACAGTCTTCACTGTAACTTGTTGTGTTTCCCTGAATGTCTAACATTTTCAGCAGAGCCTCTGGTACTTCTTTCTAATCTAAAAATGTACATGTGAATGCTCCTGTGGAGAAGCTGCAGAGCATATCGTTGACAAGAGCTTGAAAAACTGCTATTTTAAGTACTACATATTCTGTTGACTATTGAAATTAATTAAATGTTGATGGTGTTGCATTTATTTGAATCTGAAGAAAACCAGGCCTATCTGATGTGAGGGGGGAAGGGTGTATAACTTGAATTTCAGTGATCACCAGGAGATAAAAATGCTTGTTTTTATTTCAAGAGATCAAGTGTGATAAAAACCTTTAAAAAGTTAGGTTACATGGCCTTGACATAATGTTTCCAAACTCTTGCTTTATTCAAGTTGTGCTTCTAGTACACATACAAAAGTTTTTAGCTAATTCCACAAGATCACTAAACAAATTTGGGAATTTGCTGCTTTTTCTTTGTTATATTTCACAGTAACTCAGTGAAATTATTTGCAGCTTTTTTTGACAGATATTTTCTACACTTTCGGACTTTTCTAAACTCTTAAAGAAAATTGAGAAAATTTCAAACTATTTGATATTAAAAAGTTCCAGCCTTGATCTCCTAGCCCTGTTTTTGTTTGTTTGTTTGTTCTTATTGATCCTGCATTTGAAAACCAGAAACCCCAAATTTTCTCCAATTTCACCATTCATTCAATTTCACATCTCTAAAAATGTGAAGACATCAACTGTAACAATCTCCAGTCCTTACCTGGTCTTTTTTTCTGCTTGCTTAATATCTCTCAATATCAGCATGTTTAAATATTTATACACCTCTGAACGTGGTTGGGACCACAGGTAATTAAAATAGAGAGACATCTGAAGAAGCAGAAAACAGGACCAGGGCCTGAGAGCTTTGGTTAGAACAAGAACGAACCCTGTGAAACCCGCGTACTCTCTCTTTAGTCACCCATGACTTAATTTACTTTGATGTACTTTAATATGCTCAGTGTTTTTAGTGTGAAAAGCCCAGGAAATGGTGAAGGATGGAAGGGATTGACAAATCAGAAACATTTCTTATTACTTACATTCAAGTTAAGCAAAGCCTTTAAAAAGATAAATACATTTTTAGTCATTTAAACAATAATCCAAAATATTACTGAACTGAACAGTTGAATTATCAGGATATATGTTTAACATACGCTCTGATAATTCAATGTACAGCCCTTAGTAACGATGAACTCCTGTGTCCTGCAGCTTGGCTTATTTCTATGACTTTTGTCACTGCAGGAAAAACTCAAACAACAACCAGACAGACTTACTTGGAAGAGGAAATGAAGTTAAACAGAAAAACGATTACTCAAACTGTTTGTTGGAAACACTTATCAAAGATGGGGAAAGGGACTTTTTTTTAGCTCCAAATAAACTACTTTTGATAATCTGTTTAAACTGTAAATATGTCTGTCTGTCGGCTCGTGCCTCTTGGACACTGTTGCAGCTATAAAATAGGTATTGACATGTATTTAGTCATTATAACAAATACAGCAAAGATGGATAATGTAGAGAAAATAGGATCCACATTCTTATAAACTACAATTACACCAAGTTAGAAGAAAAGTCATAAAATAAATCAAAATCACAAGGTCAAACATACGGAAATATAAAACTTATAGTACTTAATTGCAGAGTAAAGTTCCATTACAAACTAAAATGATCTGTCGTCTGAGCAGGTTGGCAGGGTGTCGACTGCTCCATCCCTTGCTCCAGTGGAACCTGGGGACTGAGCTGCAATCAGACGTGTCAGTGTGCCAATGGGGCAGCTTGCAACCCCGTCAGTGGAACCTGTGCTTGCTCCCCAGGCTGGACGGATGAATACTGTGACGTACCTTGTCCTGTGAGTGCTCATAGCATTCATTTTTTTCTCTTTATTCATCAGCTCGGACATCTACTTTGCTTCTTTAACGTTTCGTTAAGTTACTTAATAAAAGAAAAAATGTGTTTTCTCTGATGTTTGTCTTGGTGCTGTTAGGATGGATCGTACGGCTTGGATTGCAGAGAGAAATGTGACTGCGTTAACTCCGATGGCTGTGATCCAGTTACGGGTTTCTGCCGCTGTCTTGCAGGTTGGACGGGTGAGTTATGGAGCTGCAGTTTGAGCCAACATTTGAAAATGCTGTGAATCCAGTAACATTAGAAAGAACACCTATGATGTTCAGATTGATACCACAGAAATATCAGCAAGACAAGTTCACATTTTAGTGGCCTTGACCTCAAAGTCAAGCATTTGGCAACTGTGATATAATTTGTGCATGTTTGGTTGCATATTGGTGGTACAGTAGAATATTTATTCATACCAGCACGCCTGCTTCAGTCTTTTGACAAAATGCCATTCAAAGCATTTTCCCAATTTTGCATTCACTGAATATTCATAACAATAATAACCCTTCTACACTATATTATTAAAAGTATTAAGTAACTTTAATGACACCCTTTTCCACTATAACAGCTTCCAGTCTTGTGGCAAAGTTTTCCTGTATTCATGGGAATTTTTGGCTATTCTATTAAACATTTGTGAGGTCAGACTAGACCCGGATAAAAGTCCTGCCTTGCAGAAACCGCTCTAACACATCTCCACTGCTCTAGAGTCCAGTAGCTGGGTGCTTTACACCACTTGCATTGCATTTGGAGTGGTTCTTATATAGCACTTTTCTATTCTACAGAATTCTATTCTATAACGTATAGTTCACTGACCCAACATTGAATATACACATATCACAAAAAAAATCACATTTGTCTTTTCCTTTACTTTTTTCAACTAAAGAGTGAACAGAAGGATTGAAACATGATCTCTGAAAAAGTGGGACAAAGTGGGACAGGGCCTAATGTTGAGCACAGTAATGTAACATATGTCTTGTGCTGAAACATTATGTAAATGGCAAACGGACTGGTTCTTATATAGCAAATAATATTGAGTAATCAGAGCCCATCTTTCCATACTGCCCATATCACCCCAATAGAGCACTCCGCTCTCAGATTGCTGTCTTTCTTCTGTTCTTTAGGATATTAAAAAGTAAAGTGGGAGGCTTTCAGCTTTCAGATCCCTCTTCTGTGGAACCAGTTCCCAGCTTGGATTTGGGGGACTGACACCAGCTCTACTTTTCAGAGTAGACTTAAAACTTTCCTTTCGGACAAAGCTTATGTCAGCCTGGTTGTGCTGGAGGTTTCTGCCTGTTAAAAGGGAGTTTTTCCTTCCCAGTCTCACCAAAGTTGCTCAAAGGGGGTCGTCTGATTGTTGGGGTTTAGCTGTATTATTGTAGTCTTCACATAGAAGCATTAAGCACTTTGAGGTGACTGTTGTTGTGATTTGGTGCAATATGAATATGAACTATATGAAATTGTTACTTTACTCGAGCACTCAAAGTGCTTTATAAACCATGTGTGACACTTTCACAGGCAGGTGTCTGTGAAGCTTCTCAGTCATCCAGGTCATCGTAGTCTAAGGAGCTTGCAAAGAAAAGCGTCTGGACTTCTTTAAGTTGCTTGAAGACGTTTCACCTCTCATCCGAGAAGCTTCTTCAGAAGCTTCTTCTTCATTTTGCAGCTTATTGTGTAAGACCTGTGCCATACCCATGATACATTCCCCTGGCATTAGTGTTTCCATGGTAGCAATCAATGACACTTGCTGGCTGATGGCACTGAATAATTACATTTTTTGGTACATTTAATGGTGTTTAAGTCAACATAGTGACTTTGTACCACTGATGAATTTACCTGAAATCCGACCACTGTATTAGTTTTATTTAAGCTGTCGTGCGTCTCGTGTCTCTCTAAAACCAGCCCTTGGAAGATCAAATCGAAGGTGCACAACAAAGTAATAAATATACTGAGAGTGGGTTTAAAAATTATTTTAGATGTGCCTCTATAGTCACATGGTCTCAGAGAAGAACAACTTCGTTGAAAACTATCCAATGAAACTGATGAATCTTCATCAAAAACACTCCAGAAGAGCTTAAAAAATGCACTTTAGTTTGACCTTTGGCCTCTTCAGGGGACATGGGATCATGGGCCATATCTAGACCCTCTGAAATGAGGGCAGCTGGAGCAGTTATGGAAAATACCTCAACACACATTCAGTAGAGGAGAATAAAATAAAACATGGATGGGGAATAGAAGACAGAGGAGAAGGGTGCAGACAACAATAAGGTATGAATTCAGACTACAAATCAATATGACAAACACACAGCAGATTCAAACCTATAATTCTAAAACTAGGGACGTTCAAGCTTGGATGAGTTTGAGCTGTTTTCAATAATTCAACTTTACAAATGTTCCCACGGATAAGGCACCTTTCAAGAGAGCCTTTTTACATAAACATTCTCCTCAGCAGTGATATTACACTTCACCGTGCCCTTGTTTACTTTATTAATTGTCATGTTCGAGTTGTACCTCTCCTTGTTTCATCCACTAATTGTCAATTAGTAAACTTGTGGTGAGAGAGGATCAATATGAGAGGTGATGAATATGGAGAGGACATTTTAATTCACTGCCAGAGGGAAAACTGATAATGAATTGACATTGAGGGAAACTTCAACATATTGATGAATAGATAGAGCAAAGTTTAGAGTTAACGACTACATGAAGTTTGAAGAAACAAAGAAACACCAGATATCTGCGTTAGACTGAAATTAGTAAGCCTGTGTAATTACAGTTCAGGTAATAACTATGAATGACAATTAGACTTGTGAGAGTCTGTGAAGCTGAAAGATAATACAGTGCATATCAATTAAAGACCCCAAAGATTCTCCTGTGATTATTTACACTCTGACCCAGTGAGATCAAATTTAAAAAGTCTGCAGAGAGTAAAGTGTAAACTGAACAACTTTCTGGGGAAAACGTGGTGTTGTTAGGAGAGATGGTACCCATCCCCCTTTAGATGGAGCAGCTCTCATTTGTAGAAGTCTGACCAAATTTATCCAGAGTTGGGACCAGGAAGCAGAGTCTTATACACCACCTCTGCAGCGTCCTTCCTCCTGTTATGATCCAGAGCTGCATCCCTGCAGAAACTATGTCTGTTCACAAAAAAACAATTCCAAATGAAATTAAATAACAATATAGCATCCTCAACTGCACCAAAGATAAAGCACTTAAATGTGGATCAGTACACATAAGGTCCCTGTTAGTAAAGGATTTAATAACTGATCAACACATCAGTTTATTCTGACTGAAGGAAACCTGGTTACAGCGGGATGAATACGTCAGTTTAAAGGAACCAACACACCCGAGTCGTCCTGTCAGAATTCTCAAGACAGGATGGACGAGCAGCAGCAGCAATCTTCAACTTATGAAGCACAGCATGTCTTTTGTCCTGTCTCCTTCCCTGTCAACCCCAACCAGTCACGGCAGATGGCCCCGCCCCTCCCTGAGACTGGTTCTGCTGGTTTTTTCCTGTTAAAAGGGAGTTTTTCCTTCCCACTGTCAAGTGCGTACTCATAGGAGGTCGTGTGATTGTTGGGGTTTTTCTGTATTACTGTCTCTACATAACAATATTGTGATTTGGTGCTATATAAATAAAATAAAATTGAACTGAACTGGAACTGATTGAATTAACCATCGATGGACAACAGATAACTGAAAAAGCAGTTTATAGTTATCTGTTGTCCAGCTGGCACTTAGAGTTTTGATTTGATTTTTGTGACTGATTTAGTGTTCGGAAAAAATAATTCTAATGGGTGATTTTAAGATAACATACGATAAGATTAATTATTATTGTAGGCTCAAGCACTGGAAAATTTGGTATATATAAACATAAGCAGTCATATATATATTTTAACTCAAAAGTACAGTTTTTAAATTTAACCCTAACCCTTGTGCGTGTTTTTTATTTTGACAGCGAATGCGCACCTGCGGACCACTATGATCTCTGAAAAAGTGGGACAAAGTGGGACAG